CAGGAAATGCTTGGAGAAGCATTTGTCTAATAGCAGGCAAGTATGGAAAACAGAAGTGAGAAGATAAGGACAGAGGATGAATATAAAGCCTGCCTACAGACCAGGGCATCAGTCTCATCTACCCCATCCTCCTCCTCAACTCTTTACACATCAGCAAGCCCAGCATTTACAACCAGACCAAAAGTCTATACTTCCTCCCCTAAGAGAGGAATTGCTTGAGAAGAAATGGGACTATGAGCGTGTATGCTGATATCCCAGAGGAAAGCCTTCCTAATTCTGGGAGGTACTCAATCAAATGACTCACAGGGAAGTGAACCCTGTCAGCCAGTATGACCCACTAATTTACACAGAGCCAGCCTGTCTACCACTCAGGGAAAAGCCTACAAAGAATTTAATTTCTACACCAAACAGCAAGTAGTATCATTAGTCTAGTTCTTCATTCTTAAAAATGTTCAGGCAGCCAGATACATAAAGAAAACCAGCAACATGAAAGAAAACACAAGAATAACAATCAGAAGAGTTGACCCAAGTTTAGTTTAATATCCCAGCATCAGAGGTACTGTATCTGTAAAAAAAAAAAAAAAGAAAGAAAGAAAAAGATGTTATGGAAAAGGGAAACAGAAAACAAAATAAGATTGATGGTATACAAAATTGAATAGAAGAGCTAGAACATAAATGTAGGGATATTGAGGAAAGTTCCCAAAACAAAGAGCAGGAAAATAAAGATAAAAATATATGGGGGAAAAATAAGACACAGAGAATATGTGCGAAATAGTTTAAAACGATCCATTGTGCCATTTTCCATAGCTCAATCATGAAACCCATGGCCTATACCCTATATTTCTTCCTGCATTCAGTATACACTCCACATTCCACCAGCCCTGCTTCAGATGGGAAACTGAACCTGCCCCTGTGTGTGTCACTTCCATGGTCATCTCTAGTATAGATCCAAGGGGAAGAGAAATACCAGTTTTAAGGATATTTTAGAATACTGACTGTTCCAGTTACTTGATTACATAACAAATCAGCCTGAAACTTTTAGTGGCTTAAAATATGGCATTTATTTTGTTCACAAATCTACAGTTTGGGCAGGGCTTGGCCATCTCTGCTCCACATGGTATCAGCTGGGGTGATGTGAAGGTTAGATGTGGAATTATCTAAAGCTCACTCACTCATATGCCTACAGTTGGTGATGGCTGTCAACTGAAACCTTAGCTGGGTGATTGATTGGACCACCTACACCTGGCTTGTGTTCTGGGCTTCCTCATAACACAGTGGCTGAGTCCAAGGGCAAGAGTCTCAGGAGAGAAAGAGCCAGGCCAAGCCCACATTTCCTTTTATGACCTAGTCATGCAGCATTACTTCTGCCTCATTCCACTTATTGAGATAGTTCAATGAAGGAGCAGCAGATGCCACTTGGTGGGGAGTGGCAAGGTTATGGAAGAGCACAGAAATAACGCTGTGGCAATTTTTGGAAGATATAATCTGCCACACTATCATAAATCATTATTGCTTGAGCTTGGGAGACTATGATCCCAAAAATTAAAATTTCTACTGCTACACCTTGGGACTGATTTTCAAAGTCACCCAGTACCAACTCTAGGCCCTGCTCTAGAGAATGGGCCAAAGTAAGAGCACAGATGTCAGCCTTCCACAGCTCCCCAAAGAGGTGGTGTCTATTAAGACACTATTTCCTATCTACTTCTTGGAAGCTATCCATGCTGATTTTTACATGGTTCCACATCATTCCACACCAATGACCCAAGTTTCCATTATCTCTGACTTAATACAATACATCTTTGATTTTCTGAATAGTCTTTTCTATGGGTGTCCCACAGCATGCTGTTGAGCATTGCTAGATATGAACCTCAAATGCAAAGTATCACAGATTGTGTTGTAAATGTGTTTTTGCATTTTGGTCCAGCTTTGTCATGTGTACCAGACTTGAACCCTCTGTTCCAAGCCTGTAGAAGGATAGTCTTTCATGTTGCTTCTGTTTGGCCTTGGCCATCCCTGGGCCAGATGCTTGTCAGTCAGCAGTCCTTAATGTTCTTTCTGTTCTCTGCTTCTAAAGTACTGACCATCAAACCAAAACCAAACTCACTGTGGTTGAGTTGGTACCAACTCATGATATGACCCCCTCCTTGGGTTTCTGAGGTGGTATCTCTACAAAAGTAGATTGCCCAGTCTTCGAGGGTCCAAATGAAATCAAATGATATCATTAAATTTTCAAGATAACCAAAATTTGTCCCTCTAAACATCAAAACTTTCTTGCCTTAATCAGTATGAATGAAAAATTTTTCTAAAATGTTTTACACAGTTTCCTTCTTAAACATAATATCTAGAATATATCTAACCGATTTTCATAGTAATATACTATCATCATTAGTGTACTTTCTGGCTAAATGAAGTGTTATCACTTTGAAAAATAAATAAAAGGACAGACATGCCATAACATATCACCTCAAGAAACCTGAATTCTAGAGAAGATTGGTATTCTGTTTATCCATTTGTTGATTTCTGATAATAAATCAAGTTTCTGATTAAAAGTAATGCAGAAACTGCAGAAACTATACAATTCAGATGTGCACAAATGTATAACATTCTTTATTTTCTCTGACAGAACTTATCATTCCTTACAAACCCCATTCCACAGATTGGGGTGAGGGTAAGGATGGACAAGGAGAAATTGATACAAGCTTGTCTCAGTCTCTTCTGATTAAAAACAGTCTTCTTTTAGGTTGTCTCTTAGAATTCAGCATTTTTTTACCCACCCTCATCTCTTGGTGGAGATAGCTTCTGGGAACAAGGGAAAATGAACTTGTCCTAGGATGATGGGTAAAAGAGACCTCTGGCAACTCTAGAACTAGTTCTACTGAGAAGTGATTGGCCTTAACTAGTCAAGTTCCCAGGAACCTGTCCGATGTGTACTGAATGTTGCTGATGAAATTCATGGTCTCTTCCCAGTATAATCAAATCTTGGTGGTCATACCATGCTGACTATTGATGTAAATGCTTCAAGATCTTAGTTGTATCCTCCATGTGATCCCTGACTAGACTGTCTATCCCAAAGCCTCTACTCTGGGATCACCTGGATCTGTAACCTTGAGGACTCCAGAACGGGTTCCCTGGCTTTCCACTCAGTTCCCTTCAGTTCACCCCACTCATTGCAGGGGGAAGGAAAGCACAGTCTTTGGCCCTTTGCCTAGACATTACATTTAGTTCTAATTTACAACTTGGTGATACCATGTCACTCTAACTCCATGCTGAATATGGAGGCCTTTGTAAGGGGCATGCAGCTTTCCTGGGCCATGCCAAGACATCCTGCCTGAAACTTCTCCAAACCACAGAGATGTTTTTCACCCCTAATATCCCTTAGGGAGCTCTGGTAGTGTAGTGCCTAAGGCACTTGACTGCTAAGGCTGGCAGTTCAAACCCACCAGCCACAGCACAGAAGGTTAGGCAATCTACTTCCATAGTGATACCGCCTCAGAAACCCAAGGAGGGGTCGCTATGAGGGCACATAACAACAATATCCCTTAGGTTATAGATTTGATCCTAAGAAGGTGTAGAGGAGACTACAATTCCATCTGTTTCTCTCTTTCTCTCTTTTTCTGTCTGTGTCACTCTCTCATCCCTGGGCTTTCCTCTCTAATCATATGGTATAAGACTCCCTTGACTCATATAGGCCCACATCTCACGATTTTTACTAAAATGCAATGGTCTTGAGTCCAACAGATTTGCCTCTTGATGTATGCATTAGAAGGATCATTTGGAATTTAATAAATAATTTAATTCTTTCTTTCTTTCTCTCCTTCTTTCCTTTTTTCCTTCTTTCTTTCTCTTTCTCTCTCTCAACAAACCTGTATTAAAAACTTTTGTTTTGCCAAAACTAAAAAAGTCAACTCTTGAGATTTAAAGCTGAACAAGGGCCTTTTTCTGAGCTTTCCCATCCTGCATTCACTACACCATCTATCTAACAGAAGTTTCTGCAATGATATCTGCACCGTCCAGTGCTGTGATAGCAAGTCACATTTAGCTACTGAGCACTTGCAGTATGGGTAGTGTGACTGAGTACTAAATTTTCTATTGTATTCAACTTTAATTAATTTAAACACCAACATGTGGCTAGTGGCCACTATACTGGATGTGCAGAGGATCAATAACCTTCATGGCACAGGCCCTGGGGGCAAAAAAGAAAGCAGTTCTTTTGCAAAATTATGGTCTCCATTGTAATAGGATCACTATGAACTGGAATCTACTCAATTGCAGATTATAGGTTTATTATAATAGTGTGTCGGTTTGTTAAAAAGTTAAGGAGCTCTGGTGGTGTAGTAGGTAAGGCATTTGGCTGCTAACCAGAGTCAGCAGTTCAAACCCATCATCTGCTCCATGGGAGGAAGATGAGGCAGTCTGCTTCTGTAAAGATTTACAGCCTTAGAAAGCCAGTGGGGGTCACTATGAGTTGGAGTTGACTCAAGGGCAGTGGGTTTGGTTTTTGCTTTTTGTTAAAAAGTTAGTAGTCTGTGATGTTCAGAATGATATGCAGTCCCTGGGTTACAAACGAGATCTGTTATTAAGTGGGTCTTTAAGTTGAATTTATATGTAAATCAGAACAGGTGCATGTGGTCATTTAGCATTACTTTAGTGCAAAAAAAAAAAGGCTCAAAGTCTTTTCAATGATTTAAAAGCTGCACATGCAGTAAGTAAAAGTGACTGTGATGAAGAACGTGTTGTAAGTAGTGGTTAGTTCAATTGTTTCAAAGTAAGGACAAATTTACATAAATTAAAGGGCAGGTAGGAATTGTAAATCAGACGGTCATAACTCAGACTGTTATAACCCAGAGACTACCTGTTTAATGACATGGTCTATTTCTGTTTCTGCTAGAATCTATATAGATTTTATTCAAAGAATAATAAGCTCACAAAAAAAATAGTAAATCAAGATAGATTAAAGCAAGTATTTTCAAGAAAATTTGGTATTGTGGTTCTTTTTTCAGGAGAAAGGTCGAGAACTTGAAATAAAAAACATCTATACTAACCGAATACTTAAAAATTTACATGACAAAGATGATTATCCAAAAGGTATGTTTTAATTACTTTTCCTCAAAATCTATTTTAAATATCTATTCATATTTTCCTAATTTATGTAGTCAAGATAATGGATGGTTTAAAAAATATATTTTAATGGTAATTTTTGTGATTCTAAAAGAAAAATGAAACAGTGGTTGAAATAATTAGAAAAGAATAGAAATTCTTTTTTATTAAGAATAGAAATGCCTTCCTGTCTTCCCATTCTGCTCAATCATTTACTGCACAAGGAATGAGAGGATAACTTTTCAGCATGAAGTTAAAATGTCCAGGAAAACTTAAACTTTCTATGTATAGCTGTTATCAAATGTGTGGGGTTTTTTCATCAACTTTATGAGGTATAATTTACCTAAATAAAATTCATCCATCTGAAGTATAGATTTCATTGGGTTTATGCCAAATGTATATACCCATGTAATCACCACCCCAACCAAGATATAGAACATCCCATCTCCCAAGGAAGAGCCTTTGTACCCCTTTGTAGTCAGTAGTGCCCCATCTCTGGCCCAAGGCAAACATTGATTTCCCTTCTATCAGACCAATAAGCCTGGTCTTTTTTAGGGGTTTGTGTTTTGCTCCACATTTTTCTCCCACTCTACCCAGGATCTCCTGGGTAGAGCTTAGTTTGTTTGCCTGCCTTAGAATTTTATATAAGTGGAATCATAAAGCACCCAGTCTTTGTGTCTGTCTTCTTTTGCTCAGGATAATGTTTTTGAGATTCATCCATGTTGTTGGTACTGTCATTATTTCTGAGTATAGTATTTTTTTCTTTAAGGCAGTACATACTCCATTTCCCACCCCACCCCCAAAATCTCCCAGCATAAGATTCTGCTTAAAAGAACACAACAGAAATATAGTACACATGGGGCAAAGTTATGGTAACTTCTTAGCCACAGCCAAACACCTTGAGGGAGTTAGTTGCTGGGCCTGCAGGCTCGAGACCATGGTCGCAGGGGACATCAAGCTCAACTAGCATAACATACTACACAAAAGCATTATTCTACCTCCTACTTGGTGAGTAGTGACTGAGGTCATAAAAGCTTGCAGACAGCCATCTCAGATGCAACAGTAGGCCTCTCTTTGTCTGGAACAAAGAAGAATGATGAAAATCAAAGATGCATGAAAACAATTAGACCAAGGGACTAGTGGACCATACGAACCTCAGCCTATATGACCCTGAGACGAGAAGAACTAGATTGTGCCCAGCTACCACTGTCAGCCACTCAGAAAGGGATCAAAATAGGAGATCCTGGGTAGAGTGGGAGAAAAATGTGGAGCAAAACACAAACTCCTAAAAAAGACCAGGCTTACTGGTTTGATAGAAACTGGTAAAACACCCAAGACTATGGTCCATAGTCACCCTTTGGGCCTGGAATTGAACTCACTTTCAGCCAAACAAAAGACAAGCCTATAAGGTGAACAATTTCCCCAGGTAGATGCACTCCTTAGAACAATCAACCACGGGAAATCAAAAGGGCAGCATTTGCACAGGAAGATAGATGAGGGCAACAATGCATAGGAAAGGACATAGGGAAGAAAAAGTAACCATAGAGGAAGTGGGAAGCAATCTGTTATATTATGGGAATTGCAATTAGTGTCATGAAACAAAATGTGTATGAACTGTTGAATGGAAAATGAATTTGCTCTGTAAGCTTTCATACAAATCACAATTTTAAAAAACTAATAATAAAGTACAGTTATGTGTCACTTAATGTCCACAATACATTCAGTGAAATAGGGTGTTGTGTGATTTGGGCATTGTGTGAACATTGTAGGATATACAGGCAGTCCCTGGATTATGAACTAGTTCGGTTCCTAAGTCTGTCTTTAAGTCAAATTTGTATGTAAGTCAGAACAGTTAGGCATGGCTCATATCTGACATCAGTTAGTCAAATGTTTGTCTTAGTATACAGTATGCAATGTACCTTTCTCTATATATAAAATTTTAAACACTTCCAGATACACTTAAAACATCTTTAACATAATAACTAATAATAATAATGTCTAGATGTGTGTCACAAAGTAGCACCTGTTGGTTGTTATGAACCATTGTATGTACCTCAAATTTTTAATATAATAGGCTTCATGGGGGTTTGGGACCACAGAAGCATATGTGACAGGATGTTGCCCTAACAGACATTATGTGGCGCATGATTGTACTTGTCCCTATTTTGGTAGGAGATGTAATTACATGTTTACTTTCAAAGGCAGTAACCTCACATTCCTTTGCCTTCCTTTCCTTACTTCTCATTTATAATCCAGAAGATGTTAAAATTAACCATGAGTGGTTTAAATGTGAGACTGTGTCAAGGGAAGTGAAGTCTAAATTAATGGTCATACACTTTAGCATGGATGGTCTAACCACTGATAATCAAGAACTCTGACACACAGCATCATTGTAGGTTGACCCTTCATAATTGCATTACTACAGTGTTGAATATCTTCTGCAAGTAGAGACACTTGAATACCTTCAGCAGCAATGTTCTCCTAACACTTACTTCTTGGTAATATAACACTGGGACAACATCAGCCAATGGTTGTGACAGCTTGACCTGGTCCATCCTGCACTCAGTGCATGGAGGGTGTAACAGAGCAGGAGACAAGAAGATGCCAGCCCTTCGTTTTTCATTGTCTTCACCTCTGAACTGGTCTTCTACCTCTGGGGCTCAGCTGTCATCTGGGGTCTCCCTTCACCTTCACCATTTTCCTCTCACCCCATTTCTCCACTGGATCTTCTGTATCCTAAAGTAGATCTTTCCCTTTCTTGGAAAAATGGTTTAAAGAACTCAGCCACCAGTAACTTCTTGAGAATGGGACCCTGTAAGGTAAATTCATTTAACTTCATGTCTGTAAATGCAGTTATTCTACCCTTAAACCAAAAGAACCATAACCTTTATGGCCCAAAATAACACATAACAAAGAAGAGGCAGGGAAAAAAGGAAACCAGCAAATGTTATACATATATTAAAATTTTAGGAAATATCTAGTATACTTTGTTTTGTTATTAAATTGCAAACTTCAGTGTTATTTTATGTTTAAAATGAGTATTGCTTCCAAATGTATAATAGATTTCTTACTACCTGTTCTGTAGTTTCTTCAACAAAATCAGTACAAGCAGACAGGAGAAGTTTTTCATTTATAAGTGTGAGACACCAGGAAACCCAAAAATCAGATGTTCCATCTTTGACAACTAAGGTACAGCAAATTTAAAATTTTGTAGTGTCTAATTAAACATATCTTTACAAAAAATAATAGTCACTTGTTCTGTACAAAAAAAATATATTATCTGAACCCAAGAAATATGTTTTTGCTGCTTTTCTAATAGAGTAAAAAGACAACAGGAAACATTGCTCAGAAAGAAAAAACAACTGAAATAAACAGCGAATTTTCTCACTCTATCAATATACCACCAACCCAAGATCCTAGGAGAAAGCATGAAGGTGATTTCAACATCTTTTAAGTCTCTTTTAAAATTCTTACTTTATTTTTTTAAATTCTGAGTTACTATATAATCTCAAAATATGTATAAAATGTGTATCATTAGAATAAAATGAGCACATTAGTATCCTTAGACATCTCGGGGCCCTTGTCCCCTCTCCCTGCCTACAAGGAACCACCACCACCCTGACTACCATGCCAGTCATTCACCTTGCTTTTCCTCACAGCTCCCTGCTCTCATATGCATCCTTAAACAATATATTGAGGTTTTAAAAGCTGAGTTGTTGTTGTTATGTGCCATCCAGTCAGACCCGACCCATAGCGACCCCTCCTTGGGTTTCTGAGGCAATATCACTACAGAAGTAGATTGCCCAAACTTCCTTCCGAGGAGTGGCTGGTAGGTTTGAACCACCAGCCTTCTGGTTAGCAGTCAAGTGCCTTAGGCACTATGCTACCAGAGCTCCCAAATTCATGCTGTTGTTGTTGTTGTTGTTATGTGCCGTCGAGTCGGCCCCGACTCATAGCGACCCCTCCTTGGGTTTCCGAGGCAGTATCACTACGGAAGTAGGATTACCCAACCTTCCTTCTGAGGAGTGGCTGGTGGGTTTGAACCGCCATCCATCTGGTTAGCAGGCAAGTGTCTTAGCCACTATGCTACCAGAGCTCCAAAAACTAAGTAGCACACACAAATTCAGCTATGTAAAGGGCAGTATTATCACAATTACAGCAAGACTTCCAGGAAAAGATAGGAGCTCTGGTGGCATAGTGACTAAGACAAACACAGCAGTGCATTAGTTTTGGTTTGGTTTCCAGGAAAAGATAAGCTGAATGGAGCTTCTCTGAAGCTGAGGAATTCAGCAGCAAGGTTAATGGTCCTGGAAGAGCTGCTCTGTGAGACATGGGGCCATAGGGAATGGGCTGCTCAGAATTTTCTGCTTTTGAACTTACTTCCAGCTCTCAGGAGCAGGTCAAAGCAGAAAACTTCTATGGGTGAAATGAGAGTCCTCAGCTGACGCAGGCTGCAGGGTTCAACAAAGTGCCACAATATCATCAGCCTATAGTTGTGACCCACCAGCCACTCCTCGGAAGGAAGGTTGGTCAATCCTACTTCCGTAGTGATACTGCCTCGGAAACCCAAGGAGGGGTCGCTATGAGTCAGGGCCGACTCGATGGCACATAACAACAACAACAACATAGTTGTGACAGCTTGACCTGGCCCATCCTGCACTCAGTGCATGCAGGGTGTAACACAGCAGGAGATATGAAGATGCCAGCCCTTCATGTTTCATTGTCTTCACCTCTGGACTGGTGTTCTACCTCTGGGGCTCAGCTGTCATCTGGGGTCTCCCTTCACCATTTTCCTCTACTGGATCTTCTGTATCCTAAAGTAGATCTTTCTCTTTCTTGGAAAAATGATTTAAAGAACTCAGCCACCAGTAACTTCTTGAGAATAGGACCTTGTAAGGTAAATTCATTTAACTTCATGTCTGTAAATGCAGTTATTCTGCCCTTAAACCAAAAGAACAAAACCCACTGCTATCACATGGATTCTACCTCATAGCAACCCTCACTGGGTTTCCAAGGCTGTAAAACTTTATGGAAGTGGATTGCCTCATCTTTCTCCCTTGGAACAGCTGGTAGGTTTGAACCACCAACTTTCTGGTCAGCAGCCAAATGCCTTACCCTCTATGCCACCAGAACTCTTTATTCTGCCCTTATACTTGATTAACAATTGGCTATAAATATAAAAAGAGTTTTGAGCAGAAGGAGCTGTATCTGCCTCCTTGGATTGCCGTGTGTTATGGGCATAGGCAGGGAGGCCAGGGGACTAGGGTTGGAGATATAGGTGACTTGAACCAGTGTTAGGACCACCTCTATTACCAAATTTCTTAGTATGAAGTTATTTATAAATTTTTCTAATGATTAAATATAAAGTCAAATCTGTACAGTCTTAGTATTTGTTGTTCCCTTGATAAAACTTAAGTTTAGTCTATTTTATTGGTCTTCTCAAATATTCTACTTTTTGATTCATTGATCAAGTGTACTTTTTTCTACTTCATTAATATGCTGTTTTATGCTAATTTTCCCTTGTCCTTTTTCCTAGTATTTTAATGGAATACACAGTGCACTTATTTTTAAATTTTTCACTAAAATTATCTTTTGGCCATTATTCTGCTTTTCTCTGAATATTAATCAAATCCTATAGAGTTTTATGGGAGCTCTGGTAGCATAGTGCCTAAGGCACTTGACTGCTAACCAGAAGGCTGGTGGTTCAAACCCACCAGCCACTCCTCAGAAGGAAAGTTGGGCAATCCTACTTCCGTAGTGATACTGCCTCGGAAACCCAAGGAGGGGTCGCTATGAGTCAGGGCCAATTCGACGGCAAATAACAACAACAACAACATAGAGTTTTATATAGTATGTTCTCTTTAGGAGCTCTGGTAGCAGAGTGTCTAAGGCATTTGACTGCTAACCAGAAGGCTAGCGGTTCAAACCTACCAGCCACCCCTCAGAAGGAAGGCCAGGCAATCTACTTCCATAATGATACTGCCTTGGAAACCCAAGGAGGGGTCACTATGAGTTGCATACGACTCGACGGCAGTGGGTTATGTTCTCTTTATTATTTACTTTTAAATAGCTTGTAATTTTATGACAAAAATGATAGAGATGAAGAACAGATTAGTGGTTGGGAAGCAGTTAGGGATGTGGTGGGGAGGGTGGTATGACTATAAAGGAGTAACCCCAGGGAGATCTTGGTGCTGGACTAGTTTGATATCTTGATTGTGGTAGTGGTTACATGAATCCAAATATGTGATAAAATAACTCAGCACTATCCACATATATTGTACGAATGTCAATTTCCTGGTTTTGATAATATACTGGTTATGTAAGATAACTGGGTGGAGGGTACTCAGGACTCCTCTGTACTATCTGTGCCACATCTTGTGAATCAATAATTATTTCAGAATAAAAAGTATTAACGAAGAGTCTGCAACTTCAGTTTTGATTTCTACTGCAACACAGAAATTATTTAAGGGTTATGTTTTGTTGTGTTTTACAGAGTGAGCCATTTCTGAACGGCATATTAAATTCTCCAATTGAAACTAATTTTGTCTGTTTTTCTCTTTATATTTCCAGTAGTCTTTATTAATATGTAAAAACAAACAAACAAAACAAAATTTAAACGCATTGCTATTGGGTTTCCAAGGCTGTAAGTCTTCAGGGAAGTAAATTGGCTCATCTTTCTTCTGCAGCCAAATGCCTTACCCACTACGCCACCAGAGCTCTCTTGTGAATATATAGATATGTAAATTTTATACTCTCTGTTGTAGTTGTTGTTATGTGCCATCGAGTGGGACCCGACTCATAGCGACTCATAGCGCCTCCTCCTTGGGTTTCCGAGGCAGTATCACTATGGAAGTATATTGCCCAACCTTCCTTCCGAGGAGTGGCTGGTGGGTTTGAACCACCAGCCTTCTGGTTAGCAGTCAAGTGCCCTAGGCACTATGCTACCAGAGCTCCTTCTATACTCTCTGGTACTTAGAAATCCGTGACTACAATTCTCTGTCCTTACTTTTTGATTTTTAGCATTAATTCCTCTCTAATTTTAATATTGCTACAGAGTTTGGGTGGGTTTCTTTTTCTCCATTTCCAATATAACCTGGCTTCAAGTAGGAAAATTTAACACATCGAACTATATTTTCTCTTTCCGTCTAGTATTTTTTAAAATTCTAATCCTATTTCTACTCTTCTGGCGGTTTCCTTAAAATGTCAACAAACATATTAGGATGTGACTGTTATTGACATATAGAATTAAACATTCCTGTAACAGAGCAAAGGAGCTCTCATGGAGTAGTGCCTATGGCATTTGACTACTAACCAGAAGTCTGGCATTTCAAACCCACCAGCCATTTCTCAGAAGGAAGATGGAGCAATCTACTTTGTAAAGATTTACCACCTCAGAAACCCAAAGGAGGTCGCTATGAGTCAGAATAGACTCAATGGCAGTGAGTTTCATTTGTTTATGATACAGCTAAGGTGCTCTAGTGGCACAGTGGTTAAGGCATTTGACTGCTAACTAGAAGGTTGTGGTTCAAACCCACCATCCACTCCATGGGAGGAAGATGGAGCAATCTACTTCTGTAAAGATTTACTGCCTTGAAAACCCAATGGGGGTAGCTATGAATCAGAATTGACTTGATGGCAATGAGTTTGGTGGGTATTTGGGGGGGAGGGGTTGCTGTTTTTGTTTTTGGTGTAACAAAGCAAAGGAGCCCTGATGGCACAGTGGTTAAGGCATTTGGCTGGTAACCAGAAGGTTGTGGTTCAAACCCATCATCCACTCCACGGAAGGAAAATGGGGCAGTCTACTTCCATAAAGAGTTACCACCTTGGAAACTCAGTGGGGGTAGCTATAAGTAAAATTGACTCAATGGCAATGACTTTTGTGTGTATTTTTTGGGTTTTTTTTTTTTTTTTTTGACATTCTACTTTT